AAAACCATAACCAGGGAATGTTTTGATCTTCCCATGAAACCTTGAAGGGAGATTTAGGTACATCGATAGAGTCCTTGACGCTGATTCTAAATGTGGACATTAAAACTGCTACGTGGACTTTCTAAGAAAGTTGTGAGCCCTAAAGGTTGCAAAAGAACGCTAGTGATGAGGTGCAACCCATAAGGAAACACGGCTACGTTTTGCCTGGAACTTGTTCTATAAGGGTAAATGGGTGCCCTGATTACGAATATGAGACTCGTTTTTGCGCAGAGCCACGGCGACTGTGATTCCACCAGGTAAGCTCCTCAGTAACGTTTTTTGCCAACTTTGAAGGCTCATAACTTTCTTAGGAAGTTCACGTAGCAGTTTTAGTGTCCATATTTGTAATCAGCGTTCAAGACTCTATCGATACATCTAGGTCTCCTTCCAAAGTTCCATGGGAAGTTCAAAGCATTTCCTGGTTAGATAAAGTTGCTTATGGGTGGGTATTTAGCATTCATCGAATCAAAGTCCAACTAGGTGTGCGCTCATCAGGGAAGTCCATCTTTGTCGTGGTTCTTTCGCTGTGGGTTTGAGTCGAATCGGCAGTGTAAAAATTTGTGGATTGTCGTTGGGAGGCGCTCGCGCTGAGATGCTTGTGCGGCGTGCGCTTTCGGTTTCACACAATCACATTCAAGATGACGGCCACCTGACTTGTTTTTGACTCAAGAATCTCGGCATGCGAAAAAGTGACTCGCAAACGTGCTGTAAACGAGTCGACGTGAAGAATTTTGTGTAAAATTCAAAGAACTTTGATAACTGGATCAATTGGATAAGGTTAATTGTGAATGTCTTACTCAAGGATCACAAAACCTGATTATAGAGGTTGACTTTCCAAAATGCTTTTGAAAAGGTCTTTAAGCCATCACAAGGATGGTGACTTATGGGCAAAACGTCTTGCTCAAGCCAGGGCCAATTCAGACCTTATTTACCATAATCTTAGCACTCACATGTATAACGTGATGAACCGATCAGCTTTCAATTAAAAAATATTTCTATTTTTACAATATGAAAAACAGATTGCCTCAGAGAATAGAATGGTCGAAAGTTCAGATAGAAGGTCCATGTAGTGATTTACACAATCCGCGAGTGTTGATCTCCCCACGTTCCAGTTTCCACATTTTGAATGTGAAGCCATCAAGATGCGGCGATTGTAACGCCCATCCTATTTCGCATTCCGAATTATGTTTTCTTTTCGGCGTTGCATTCTTGACTTCATGAAATTTCTGCACTTTTTTTATTTCTTTGAAATGTGTCATTCTTGATGTTGCCCTGAATTTTGCACGAACACTGAATCTGATCGCAGAAAGCGCTTTTGCATGGTCAAAAGTTGTAAGCTTTCTTCTCTTACTTCCTGCAATGGATCAATTTTAAACAAGTCGCAACCATTGCAGGCTGTCTTCTGATTTCCGCCACCTCAAAACTTTTCGCAAGTCGCAAAGCAAAACTTTTGGTTTGCTTCACGACTTGCGAAAAGTCTGACTTGGTTTTGGTTTTGTAACCACAAGATTTTTTGGGTTATTTTTTGTGGTGAGCTTTTTGCGTTGCTTTCGAGAGACGGGTAGGGGGTTGAGGTAAACTATATGCATTAAACAAGTTCTACAGGCACTATAGAAATTAAAGAACTTTGATTCATTACCTCACTGAAAAGGGGACACT